AATCACCTCCCTGCCTTCCTATAAAGGCTAATAGGTAGTCCCCTCTTGCCTTACATAAAGGCTAATGGGTAGTCGCCTCTTACCTTACTTAGGTGGTCATAGGTACTCGCATCCATGTCAATCTTATGGGATCATGGGTATTCGCTTCCATGCCCAACATCATATGACACGGGTATTCATCTCCACATCATTCTATATGGAATCATGGGTATTCGCCTCCATGTCCTTTCATAATATGACACGGGTATTCACCTCTATGTCCTTTCATTATATGACATGGGTATTCACCTCCACATATTTCTAAATAAGATATGGGTATTGGTCTCCACATATTTTAATAAGGGGTCATGGGTATTTGCATCCATGTCCAACAATAGGGAATAAGTGTAACACCCCAGACTAGATAGAGAAAAGCCTATAAAATTTCAGTAGTTACAACTGCCATCCATGAGGACCCAACCACGGGCCGTGGGTCAAGCCACGAGCCATAGGTGGGCCCGTGGAGAGGGCCACCCATTGTTTTCCAGGCCATGGACCACGATGGGACCTACGGACCATAGGTGGGTCCACGGTCTGTTGTCCAGGGTTTGTCATTTGGCCAAAACTCTCGGACCACCAACCACGAACGTGCAGGACGGACCGTAGGTCCACCCATAGTCCGTCGATGGTGAGTCGTGGGTCAGTGCTGGCCGTTAAGTTTCAGGGGTAGTTGGGTCTTTTCCTAATTAATTAATTCCTATACAATGTCGGTTTGCCTATATTTAGAAGCCCCTACACAAGTCTTTTTACCCCCCATTTAAATCATTCTTCCAAATTCCCCAAAATAAATCAAATCTCCTCCCAAATATTCTCTCTCTAGAACTTGAAGAAGAAAAAGAGGATTCAACCCAGGGTTTCAAGCTAAGGGTTCAATTTCTCCATTGAAGGCTAGCATTTGGACTTGAGGTATGGTAGTTATCATCCATGAATCTCTCTCATTCATGGAGTCCCAAATTCCTCTAATTTAAAGGTAGAATTCCCCAATTAGCTAGGGTTTTCTTCAATCACCATGGGTTCTTTTGATTATTGATCTTAATGATTTAATTACATTTAAATATGCATGAATTGATAATTTACAATGCTTTTATGATGTTTCCCCTATGAACCCATGCAAACCCCCATGTATTTCAAATTGTGATCTCATAATGTGGGTTGTTGATTATGAAAGAGGAGTTTTATGATCTAAAGTATGAAGTGTAATGACCCTAAAGGTCATTTTTGGAAATTTTCATAAAATGACCGTTTTATCCCTCCCGATAGTTGCCCTGAGTCCTAATTGTTGTATTTTCGAAGTTGGTTTGGAGGAAAATTCATGAAAAATTGAGTTATTGGAAAGTTGAGTTTTTAAGAGTTAAAGTTTGGTTAAAAGTGCTATTTCGAGTCATTTGGAGTTTCGAGACTCGAATCGGATTTCTGTCGATTCCAGCAGTTTCATAATGTCGAAACGGGTCTATGAGAATTTACGGAGTTGAATTTGGAGTTAAAACGAAGATTTGAGGTCCTAAGTTGCAAAAATTGTGAAATTTTGATCAAGAGTTGACTTTGGTCAACAAACGAGGTTCCAGTGCTCGAAATGGAATTCTGAGGGCACCGTTGGATTCAGGGGGTGATTCTAAGTCTAGAATGAGTCTTGGTTGAATTTTTAGAGGCCTCGAGTGCGTTTCGAGTTTTTGAGCCTAAAGTTAGTTTCTTGACGCCTTATCGGATACCGGGTCAAGGAGACCTCGAATTCAAATTCCGACGATTTCATTGAGTCCGAAATGTCATTTTCAAGCTAGTAGCATAATTGGTTTGTGTTCGGGAAGTGCCAAATGAGTTTTGGATGAGCTTTTAAGCTTCTTGGATGCTTTGACACTATTTCAGCAAATTGTGACAACTAAAGGGTTCATTATTAGTTTTAAAGGTCGAAAAAAAATTCCGAAGGTTCTGAAATTTTGAGCATGAATTATAGGACTTATCTACAAATTTGGGTGCATTTTCGCTAACCCGAGATTGGACTTTTATCGCAAATAAGAAATAATTGTTTACCGAGTAGAAATTATATTTGACTGGGTAAACAAGGATGAAATTGAGCTCCGATTGAACGAGCAGGTCCGTATCATTATTTAAGACATTTACAAAAAAGAATCGGGTCATTTCACTATCGTATGAGGAAATTACGGCCTTTTTAGTGAAAGATTAACTGCTGTTTTTCTGGTGCATAATAGCCATGTACTGTTATAAAAATCTCAAACTGTGTTCATTTGGTATTTTGAGCATATCGGGAGTTCTAGAGATCGGAATGGAGTGATTCTTACGGGTTTCTTCTTGAATTAATATGAGGGTTAGTATTCAATCTTCAATTCAACATTTTCTCATAATTTCTTTATCTGGTTTTTTTTCCTATCCGTAAATCTCTTGGGAAAAATTGGGGTTTTATCGATTTGGACTCCCTTTTTGATGAAAAAGGTATATTTACGATCCTTATGTTATGGGTAAACTGATTGTAACATAAAATTATTGATTCATCGACTATTTTCATCATATTAACCGCGTACAATTTGGACTTTCCCGGTAAAGTTAAAGTTTGATAAATTGAGAATTTCAAGGTCGATCTTAACTCCGTTTTTGATGAAATTTCATATTTGAACTTATCTAAGCATGGGTAAGATGTTTTTCAAGAGATATTTCATTTTCGAGTCGGGGTTTCGGATCCGAATATTTTAGGCTTCTTCAAGAATGTGGATTTTCCTTCAAATTGAGTTTGTGAATTGATTTCAACTCCGTTTTCAAATTGGTTTTCACCATTAGCTTCCAAATACTTTAAGGATCATTTTACATCAAAAATTTCCAGATTTGGGTATCGTTTTCCGGTATGAGACTTTTGGACCGTTTTGCCCTTTTTCCCTAAATTTCTTGATTTTGGTGTCATTGGACTCGAATTGTGATTGTGATTAATTGTTTGAATAGATTATCGTGATTCGGATCATACTCGGAAAGGAAAGGCTCAAGTCAAGTAACTTTTGGAGTTCGTTTTAAGGTAAGTGGCTTCCAAACTTTGTAAAACTCTTAGACTACGCATGACTACTTTCCTAATTGTGTTGGGGAGTAATGGGGATTGAGGATGGGTTTTATTTGTTGAATGAAATTGTTGTAAATGAAAGATGGGGAATAAAACGAGCTAAATGTGTTATATGTGACTTGAATTTGTTGAATAAGTAATGTGATAACTGATATTGAGGGGATAGAAGAGCATGAGTAGGCTATGATTAATATAGACATTGTGTTGAGACAGATGATGTGTAATACTATGATGTGGTCATGATATGGTTGTGATTGAGATAGGTGATGTGTAATACTATGATGTGGTCGTGATATGGTTGTGATTGAGACAGATGATGTGAAATACTATGATGTGATCGTGATATGATTGTGATTGATGACATGTGCATATTCATTGTTCATCCCATGTGTGAACTATCTGTTGCATGAGTTCTGAGACACTGATATGAGGATGGATAGATATGAGACACAGTTGAGACTAGCTCCAGCTAGAGATATATGAGATGGACTAGCTCCGGCTAGCGATTTGGATGCCGATGGGATCTGGTTCCGGCAGTGATACATGGTCCATGTGTGGCCCCCATGGGTTCTGATTTGAGTATTCAGCACGGACTGATTACATCAACAGATGTGTATTGTAGGACATATATGCATCACGACTACATGACATCATTATTGCATTTTGCATCGCATTTGCCTTATCTTTGTCTGTGATGTGTGGATTGTATCGGTTTACCCTTCTTATGTGGAATTTGATCTACTTGCTCTTATTTGTTTATCTGAGGTTGATGAGAATATACTGTTGGTTCTGGCTGTTGAATATGATCTGTTTAGTATAGGTTGGTTGGTTTGCTGCTAAATTGAAGTTTCGGTGGTTCGATTGGGATTGAAAGGAGTTGTTTGTAGCTGCTAGTTTTGCTTAGTTTAGAGTTACTTGCGAGTACCTGTAGTTTTCGGTACTTACCCTTGCTTCTATACAATTGTGTAGGTTGACAGCTCTCTCTCAGATTCGGCTTAGTAGTTTCTTTAGCAGATTGAGCTTCGGGACATACTCGAGAGGTAGCGGTTCATTCCAGACGTGCCCTTGAGTTATCTTTACTTTCAGTTTTGTTCTATTCGAGAACTATACTTTGAGACTTGTATATTTTTATTTGAATTCTGTATTTAGAGGTTTGTACATGTGACAACCAAATTTTGGGTAGTGTTGAGTCTTAATTAAAGTCTTCCGCTTATTTATTATCTTTTATTCTCGTATTTCTACTTTTCTATCGTTGTGGTTGGGTTAGGCTGACGTGTCCGGTGGGAAATGGACACGTGCCATCACATTCGGATTTGGGGTGTGACATGAAGTAATAGAATTACATGAATTTATGATAAAATCCCTATCTAATGATTGAATTATAGATTTGGTGATTGAGTTTATGCATGATCTGGTGGAAACTATGTAAATGTTTCGTTGCAAGATATGTCAATTCCCACTTGGAAGTGGGAAGAGGTGAATATGGACTTTGTTGTGGGTTTGCCTCGTACTAGAAGGAAAATGATTCTATTTGGGTCATTGTGGATAGGATGACAAAATCAACCACCTTCATTCCCGTTAAGGTTTCCCTTCGGTGGAAAACTATGAAAATTTGTATATAAGGGAGATAGTGAGGTTACATGGGGTTCCTTTATCCATCATTTCAGATCGGGGTACTCAATTCACTTCACACTTTTGGAAGTCATTCCAAAAGGGGCTTGGTACTAAGGTGAAGCTTAGCACCGCTTTTCACCCTCAAACGAATGGTCAAGCGGAGCGCACCATTTTAAATTTAGAGGATATGTTGAGGGTGTGTGTTATAGATTTCAAGGATAATTGGGATGACCACTTGCCATTAATAGAGTTTGCCTACAATAATAGTCACTACTCAACTATCGGTATGGCTCCTTTTGAAGCCTTGTATGGTAGAAGATGTAGGTCTCTGGTTGGTTGGTTTGAGGTAGGTGATATTGCTCTTCTTGGTCCCGAATCGATTTATAAAGATATGGAGAAAGTTCGGCTTATTAGAGAAAGGTTGAGAACGGCTCAAAGTAGGCAAAAGTATTATTCTGATGTGAGGAGAAGGGACCTGGAATTTGAAGTAGGCGATTGGTTTTATTTGAAAATCTCACCCATGAAGGGTGTGATGAGGTTTGTCAAAAAGGGGAAACTTAGTCCCCGGATTATAGGCCCATATCAAATTTTGGAGCATATTGGCGAAGTTGCCTATGAATTGGACTTGACAAATGAGTTGTCCCTGGTTCACTTGGTATACCATGTTTGTATGCTTAAAAAGTGTATTGGGGACCCGGTGTGCATTATTCCTTTAGAAGGGTTGGGTGTTGATGAGAGCTTTTCCTATGAGGAGGTTCCGGTAGAGATCTTTGATCGAAAAGTCAAGAGATTGAGAAATAAGGAAGTAGCTTCTGTTAAGGTGTTATGGAGAAATCATCTAGTAGAGGGTGCTACATGGAGGCTGAGGCCAATATGAAGTCCCGATATCCTCAGTAGACTTCGGTATTGACCTTCTCCTAGATATGCAACCTAAATTTATTCCACCTTATAGAATGGCTCCGGCAGAATTTAAGGAGTTGAAAGATCAATTGAAGGATTTGTTGGATAAGGGCTTCATCCGACCGAGTATCTCTCCATGGGGTGCTCCAGTGTTGTTTGTTAGGAAGAAGGATGGTTCTCTTTGTATGTGCATCGACTATAGACAGTTGAACAAGGTTACTATCAAGAACAAATATCCTCTTCCAAGGATTGATGACTTGTTTGACCAACTTCAAGGGGCTAGTTATATCTCTAAGATTGATCTCTGATCGGGTTATCACCAATTGAGGGTGAAGGATAGTGATGTTCCGAATATGGCTTTCCGAACCCGATATGGTCATTATGTTTTCTTGGTAATTTCATTTGGGTTGCTCCGACACCATTTATGGACTTAATGAATAGGGTGTTTAGACAATACCTATATATGTTTGTAATTGTGTTTATTGATGATATTTTGATCTATTCGAGGAATGAGGATGAACATATTAGCCATTTGAGTATTGTGTTGCAAATTCTTAAGGACCAACAACTTTTTGCAAAGTTTAGCAAATGTGAATTTTCACTAAGGTTCGTAGCTTTTCTTGGGAATATTGTGTCAAGCAAGGGAATTGAGGTATATCCCATTAACACGGATGTGGTCAAGAGTTGACATAAACCTCTATCTCCTTCTGGTATTAGAAGCTTCTTGGGTTTGGCCGGTTACTATAGGAGGTTGGTTGAGGGATTTTCTTCCATTGCTTCTCCTTTGACGACATTGACTCAAAAGAAGGCTAAGTTTGTGTGGTCGAAAGTTTGTGAGAAAAGTTTCCAAGAGTTTAAAGATAGACTTACTTCTACTCTACTATTGACCTTACCAGTAGGTACAGATGGTTTTGTGGTGTATTGTGATGACTCTAGAGTTGGGTTGGGATGTGTGCTTATGAAAAATGGTAAAGTGATTGCCTATGCTTCAAGGCAACTTAAAGTCCATGAGAAGAATTATCCTACCCATGACCTTGAGTTAGTGGTAGTGGTACCCTTGATCCCATTTTAGTAGAATTGAAAGAAGTGGTACTCAAAAAGTCCGTTGAGGCTTTCTCCCAAGAGGGAGATGGGGTACTAAGATATCAAGGTCGCTTACGTGTTTCGAATGTTGATGACCTGAGGGAACAGATCTTGGTAGAAGCTCATAGTTCTCAGTATTCTATTCACCTGGGAGACACCAAGATGTATCGTTATTTGCAGAAGATCTATTGGTGGAATAGGATGAAGAAGGATACTGCGGGATTTTTGGCTAAATGTACGAATTGCCAACAAGTCAAGGTTGAGCATCAGAAACCAGGAGGTTTATCCCAAGACATTGGTATTCCTACTTGGAAGTGGAAAGATGTGAATATGGACTTTATTGTAGGGTTGCCACGTACTCGGTTGCAACATGACACGATTTGGATAATAGTAGATCGGATGACAAAATCTTCCCATTTCATTCTCGTCAAGGTTTCTTATTCAGCGGAAGATTATGCTAAGTTGTAATTGAGAGAGATGGTAGGATTGCATGGAGTGCCCTTGTCCATTATTTTCGATTGAGGTACCTAGTTTACATCACAATTTTGGAAGTCATTCCAAAAGGGTCTTGGTACCAAAGTTAAGCTTAGCACGACTTTTCATCCCAAAACCGATGGGCAAGCGGTGTGCACTATTTAGACTTTGGAAGACATGTTGAGAGCTTGTGTGATTGATTATAAGGATAATTGGGATGACCATTTTCCATTGATTGAGTTTGCCTATAATAACAGTTATCACTCGAGTATCGGTATGGCTCCATTTGAGGTTATTTATGTTAGGAGGTGTAGATCTCATATAGGATGGTTTGAGGTGGGTGAAGTTGCTCTCATAGGTCCCGAATTGGTACATAAGGTCATTGAGAAGATCCGGCTTATTAGAGAGAGGTTGAGAACGGCCCAAAGTCGGCAAAAGTCATATGCCGATGTTAGAAGGAGGGGTCTTGAATTTGAGGTTCATGATTGGGTTTATCTAAAAATCTCACCCATGAAGGGTGTAATGAGGTTTGGGAAGAAAGAGAAACTTAGTTCCTGTTTTGTAGGTCCATATCAGATTTTGAGATGTGTTGGTAAGGTTGCATATGAGCTTGATTTGCCAAATGAGTTGGCATCGGTGCATCCGGTCTTCCCTGTCTACATGTTGAAGAAATGTGTTGGTGATACGACATCCATAGTTTCCTTAGAGGGTTTGGAAGTTAAAGTGAATCTTGCTTATGAAGAGGTTCCGGTTGAGATTTTTGACCGGCAAGTCAAAAAGTTGAGGAACAAGGAAGTTGCTTTGGTAAAGGTGTTATGGAGGAATCATTTAGTTGAGGGTGATACTTGGGAGGCCGAGGCCGATATGATGTCCCTATATCCTCATCTTTTTCTTTCTACTCCTACTCTAGCTTGAGGTAATGAGTTCCTCTTGGTTGTTCTATATTTTGGGAGTCATGTGTGCTTTATGTGTTTCCATCATTTCCTTATGATTATGCATGTTAATGAAAAAGCTCAAGTTTTTAAAGAAATGGCTTATATGATTTATTTTACTCATGTTGTTGTGCATTGAATATGAGTTGCCTATATACTTCATGAGATGATTGTTGAACATGCCTTAGACATTCTTTTGTGAATTAATTGCATAAGGGATCTATGAGATTGTGTTGAACATGTTTTTTAGCTTGAAGAAGGTAGTTCCTCCTTGAACATGAGAAATGTTGAGAAGTTTTGAGAATCCATGCATATTAATTTGCTAGATGTAGTGTAGCGATCCTTTCAAAACGATATCACTACTTAAACTAGAAATCTAATTAAATATTTGCGACATTTAAAACAAATTAATGAGGGCATACTGATTTTAATCTAGTAGAGGGATTAGATTCATAACGAACTCCAAAAAAATATATATAACATTTAAGCAATTAACCGATCAGATCTTCATGCATATGTTAACCTCACACTCGAGGGTGAAATAACAAGAATATTACAAGCTTCCGAGTACCGAAATGATCAGCCAGCTCATGCTTCACACAACTTTCAAGACATATAGCAAATTAGTATATTACAAGACTTGGGTTTACACACCCCAAAAAGATAAAAACGTATAACCATACGTATATTACAACCCATGGTGACATGACCAAATCCGCCCTCAAAATCTCCTGTAAATATACAACACAAAAATCATGTACAAGTCCCAAGGTTATACAAAATATATATGCCTATATGCAAATGTAATCTTCCTTAAGGCTTTCAAAATCTCCATCATCAATGGCCAGCTTCAAGCATCATCGCAAACAGCCCCTACGATAGAAAGAACTATCGCTAAGCATATAGCTTAGTGATGTACAAACTATAGGTTTGGAGCCCTTAAATTCACCAAGTTATCATTCTCAAGTCAAGGGTAGCACGATCGAAACAAAATAAGTAAATCAAGTAAACAATATACAAGGAGTATCAAGTTCAATATATAAAGGTCCAAATGTCAAGAATTCTCATAGCACAACTTTTCAAGAGATTCAATAACAAGTCTCACCCAATATAAACATCATGTCATCACACCAAGAACGAACAACTATCAAGAAGGATCAACACCCTACGTCAAGAAGGGTCAAAACCCAATAATCAAGAGAACCAAGAACCGTATTAAAAAATGGCTTCCTAGTTCGTACTTAAAATGGACGACTTCCATTCTTAAGACGAACTAAAAATACAGAGTCAAGATGGCAAATGATCCGAACCAAGAGGCATGCCAAGAGTGACAAAGTCACAGCCACAAGAAGGACAAGGTCCCAACAAGAGTGCTAAGTGATCAAACAATTCGTACAAGTGGGCGAGTTACATAAGCGTATTTAATGTATTAAAGTATACCAATACGACAATGCAAAGTGACAAGAGGTAACCAAGGTACCAAGATAACTTTCAGATATACCAGCAAGTAAAAAGGGTACAAGTATAAGTTTATACACAAACCTCAGTTCTTTAGCACAAAAACAGTCCAGCAAAACTCTATGAGTCAAACGGTAGACCTAGCAGCGTATCAAAGTCTTCAACTTGTACACGAGGATATACAACCTTAAGAAATGAATTCAATAACTTATTTACTTTCTAACAGCTCAATAATGATGACATAAAATAGGGTTATCATCACAAGTAAGCCTAGCCTTTACAAATACAACTATGCTCCCAAACAGTAAATTATGGCCATCCTAGTGCATCATGTCACAACTAAGATTTGAAATGGAAAAAGGCAAAACTGGACTGTATACTCTTCATGAAAGATGTAGGTATCTCTCTTAAGGTTGCAAACAACCAAGAATCACCGCAAAATGTATTTTGGATAAAAAGATATAATCAAAACACTAACAGTTGTCCATACAGGATTCCAAACTTCAGAATCTGGACAGAACTTGTCCCATGATGCGTCCCATATTTCGAATCCGTAACAACTAAATTAGAGTTTAACATAAACATAAGAGTTGTACATATACAAATTATCTTTCCAAATCATATTTATTCACAGTAAAAAAAGTTCTATAGAATGAGATATGCTTAATCTACTAAACGCTGCCTAGCTCAAACACAGGTTTTACCACTTACCAAAGAGGAGTGTAACTCGATTTCCAGCCAAAAGGACCAAGATTTTATCTTGTGATCTTGAAGAACAACAGGTTAGATAATGTTCTAAGGGACTTATACTTCAGGTGAGACGAATTTCCTAAGAGGAGGTGTCAAAATATAGTAACACAAGAGGTGCTTATCATATACACAGCTGTCCATAACAGTTTGCTGCCCAAATACTTGTGTGCTGCCCAAATGCATACATATGCACCTATATATATATATCCTTCACCTCCTTTTAAAGCTATACATATTTCTAATTAAAACATTATGCAAATACCCCCACACAATACATTAA